CCACATTATTTCCTATCAGCAAAAGAAAGTTCTTTTGGTGCATTTGGAGCAGGTAGATTGTGTTTTTCAGTGGACAGGTTTTGATGGAAATCTATCTTGTTTGCTTACACAACGTTATTCACTATTTAGTGTATGGTCGTATTAATATTTATCAAGCTGCAGGCGAGGGACTTCTGGAGGAATGTAAAAGAGAATTGAATGGATGTGACATTGGCGATGCCATAATCACCTCAGGTACAATCATTGAACTGGCCAGTCCCAGTCTTTTCACGCATGCGAAGAGCGCTCAATCAGTCAATCATGACGTAAACACGCGTGACGTAACCACGCGTTCCAGTTATATTCATTTCAATGAGTACAATACATATTTATTATTTTTGAAAATTTAACGGTTACATTGAGCGCCGGTGCTCTCCACTTGATGAGTAAAAAATTGTGTGGCGTTAGACGGAGTAATGTCTGTAATAAAATAGGGTGCATTATGACGCAATGCAAGTTAGCCACGGTCAAACGTCGAACTTTTCATGTGCCGAACCTAATGCAAATGAAGTGAAACAAAGAACTTAGCTCATTAACATTAGGTTCGGCACATGAAAAGTTCGACGTTTGACCCTGGCCTTCATTAAGTTTCTATATAAAACCTCGGTCAAACGAGGAGTTGATGAGAGTTGACAGCCACGCATTGTTACAACGGACATTTCAAGCTCTAGATGAACAAAATAAAGGTTTGATGAATGTTCCAACTATGTTTTAACTTCAATAGAATACGTGATAGTGTTGGGAAAGCATTAAGAACAGCTAACCAAGCTCGCGTGACTGTCAACTCTCATGTATTCTCATCCTCGTTTCATTCGGGCCTAACTATCCTCCTTTGTGGTATTAATGCGTGTTTTCCTTCTATTTCTACAGGACATAAACTTCCAGCTAAACGTAAGTACGCAAATCATTTGGTCAATTGCCCCGTTTCAGTACACTTGTATACAAGTCTTTTTGTGTCCGACAGTGTCTGTGTCCTGCCGTTTAGTTTCAAGCTTGCTTGTATACGCTGTAAAAATACTCTGCGGGAAGGTTTTACTGACGGTACATTCATGAAGAACAACATGGAGACCAGATTTTGGAGCAGATTTTAGATTCTATTTTTTTCATGTTGTGTAGATATGATTCATACGGTTTGTCCAACGTTTGGACGAGAGCGACTATTGGAAAGGTGTTATAATTCCTGTCTCAGGCTGGTGAAAGAACACGAATTGAGTTCAGTGGTATGTTTGCATACAGTTTAGTTATGATAATATTTAATGTGCTATTTACAATATCAGCGACCATGTTGTATCGGATATATAAACTCGAGCCGAAGGGGAGAGTTTGCATATTCGATACAGCACGGACGCAAATGTCGCAAATGTTGTAAATATCTTGTGAAACGTCTTGATGAGAACATTCGTATTCTTCAACAATTTTAAATAAATGAATGATATAGACGGTCCATATAGACCCAGTGAACTATATATGTTATATAGTTCAGTGTATAGACCTTATTCATAAATCGTGATCGAGGCTTCGTATATCCTAGGATACGGGAAAAACGCGGGAAAACAAGCGAAAAATGCTTGACAAGCCAAATTCAGATGCTATTGTGTCGACTTTAACGGCTTATTTCTTGTTGCTTATTTCGATTTATAACGATTTTTGTGTGTATTTTAAGATTTTGTGCCCACAACGAAAGCTGTTAACGAGTATATTAGACCGGTTTTTCTCCCGTTTTTTGTGTGGAAAATATGACAACGAGTGCTAAGCGATGCTGTTTATCCCAAAAGCGAAGCGAAAAACAGTATTTTTGACTGATATTTTAACGTCAATATATATAGGTTATTCTGTGAAAAATCAAGACAACTATGGAATGAAAGTATAAATTGTGAAATTGACATTAATATCAAAGAAAACAAGAGGTCCAAAATCACAAGAGAACGTCAAATGTTATTGATTTCGCACGGAAAAATATGAACTATGTCTGTGGCTCGATGACATTCTGCAAGCAGTTTACAAGTTTAAAAAATGAAGGTTACATTATCTGAGTGAGTTGTAATCTTATTTCTTCAACAATAGATTCATATTTCTTACGATTTTGGTGTTGTACAGACATTTTGTATAGCCCTGTCGGTTGTTTGTTTTGGCCATACAAACTACGACAATAGTACAAAGGTTTTCTTTTCCAATTGACTGCCGTAATATTTTCGGAAAAAAGCTGCCATAGCCGAAAGTAAAAAAACATTTTGCTAATTTTCCCGCGTTTAAAGTTTATGTGAATCAGGTTGATTTTGTATCAGATATACAAACTCCTCGACGCTCATGATTTCTTTTGTGTTTTAATTCTTTATGAATTATTAATGAGTTTTACAAAATATTTGGGTAAAGACCTACCTAAAATGATCATGTTTTGTGATTGGCTTTCAGAAAGAAATCGGAGACAAATATGATCATTGTTCGTGACTCGTTCTTTAGAAAGACGATTTCTATAGTTTTATTGTCTTTCATTGTTATAATCAACCAACCACGAGCCTGGATAGTATAGGTAGATGATGACGCAAATATTAATGTTTATATTGCACAAGTATCTATACAATATTCAAATGCGCATTACAATACATTATTATATAGATATAAGCAATAAAACAATAAAAGAGAAATATAATTATATACATGCAGCACTAATCAATTACTGAAAAGTTCTACTGAATAAAAATGTCTTAACACTATTTTTAAAAGTTGTAATGTTCTGTAGTTTTCTTATTTTCGCTGGAAGAGAATTCCAAAGTTTGGGAGCAACACGCGAGTGTCTTCTTGGATTTACCATTAGGGTTTGCTAAAAGTAGCCCATCATAGAGATTACTACAGAGAGTATTATGGGGATTACTACAGTATTGTAGATAGTGGACGTGCTTACTGTATATTGTAGCTAGAATACAGTATTTCACTCTTTCCCTGATAAAGCATTTTAATGCAATGATCATATTTTTTGTTCTTTAGGCATTTTCCTGTTTACCTGTATATATTGGAATGTACCCCGGTGAGAACCATTGAACTGAATATAACTGGAACGCTACCTCCAACTGGAAATTTGAAGCCAAACTTGAAGGCCAGTCCCAGTCTTTTCACACATGCGAAGAGCGCTCAATCAGTCAATCATGATATAAACACGCGTGTCTGGGGGTCAAGATTTGGCTTCAAGAAAAAGATAGGCAGTTTATCTGAAGGTAGCGTTTCAGTTATATTCATTTCAATGGTGAGGACTTAAAGGCGTGTTCATATGAGCGTAGCTAATCTGGAAACTCACCCGACTGAGATCTGCATGCCTTTTGTTAATGCATATAAAATTCAATTTCTGTTCATATGAGAAACGAGTCAGCCTGACTTGATGAGATCTCACCTTGCGCTAGGTGGCACTGAGTCAAGTGGGATAAAATTTTCCATGTGAAAGCTTTATCCCTTTGGACCTTACTATCTAGACCTTTAGGAAGAACGATAGAAACATTGATACAGTTAAAGTAAGGTTAGTTCAAAAATTGTTTCTAGGCTTCTCGTTAGAAGAGATTGCTCATGTTGCGTTGAAAACCGTTAAAACGTGGTTGAAAGAAAACGATGATTGGGTATGTAATAAAATTGTTTGATTATTCACATGTATGTAAGTGGGCAATATCGCAAAAAAACTGACGAGCTGTTTAACTTCTCGCCCAACAAAAGAAAAACATAACATATTTTTAACTTGAAAGAATAAGTCTTTGACTTGTCATTTCAACAGTAACCAGCTTTTGTGGTGTCGTGATCACCACGCTTGCCTTTCACGCTGCATGGGAGACCCGGGTTCAATCCTTGGTCGGACCTTTACTCAAAGTCTTAAAATAACTGAGGAGAAAATGCTACCTTTACATCGACATTAGTACATGGTTAGACTTTCGCGTCTTCTCGGATAAGGACGTTAAAATCGTAGGTACCTCGGATCCCCTATCAATTGGGAAATCCGCTCACCAATGAGTGAGAAACGGTTAAAGTCCTTGCTTCAATCCTAGGTTGGTCGTATAATTTTTTGCGGATATCCACAAGAAGACCTGGATATTTATCAAAGGTTAATGCTCCAGTACTTTCCTTGTACGACCAAGAATGGTACAGAAGAGACTGAAGGTAGGTCTGTTGTCTTATTTTCCTGGATTGTAAAACTCATTAATAATTCATGAAGAAAATAAGCTGTTTCGGTATATCGATATACCGATAATTATCGGGTTTTTATAAATTCCGATTACTGGATATTGGAGTTTTCGATATATCGTCATATCGATATTTTTCGGTATTATCGATATCACGTTTACGTTTGTATATTTGAACGTCATGTCAATCTTCAAAGACAAAGACAAAGTGCTAAAATTAAGGTTGGAGCGATATCTAAAATGTGTTTGTTTATACGTTGGCGTTGCAAACTGTAATATGTCATTTTGCGCATCTCAAAAAATAAACTTTCAGAACTAATTTAAAACAACGGTGCATTATAAATGTTTTAGAAAAGCATAAAATAAACTCATTGGACATTGTTTATCTGGTGAGATCATGCATGATTCATCCAGTGCGATAATTAATGCTAATAAGTAACATGCATTTTCAATAGACAATTCCCATTATAGACTAATTTTAAAACTTGGCAAGGAGACTCAAATAAATCACCACAGCTAGAAAGAGCGTACTAAAATTAGTAAAACTGCAAAGTTTAGTTGCGAAATGTTGTAAAATGTAGAAAATATAGCCTTGCAAAGTTCGCAAATTTTGTATACTTTTGTATTGCGTGCGCAAATTCCTACCACATTCCTACCACATTTAGGCCGAAAATGGCCGCACGCAATACAAAAGTACACAAAATTTGCGAACTTTGCAAGGCTATATTTCCCGCATTTTATAACATTTCGCAACCAAACTTTGTAATTTTACTCATTTTAGTATGCTCTGTCTAGCTGTGGTGATTTGCATCTCCTTGCCTAGTTTTAAAATTAGTCTATAATGGGAATTGTCTAATAAACAATTCCCATTATAGACTAATTTTAAAACTAGGCAAGGAGATGCAAATAAATCACCACAGCTAGAAACAGCATACTAAAATTAGTAAAATTGCAAAGTTTAGTTGCGAAATGTTATAAAATGCGGGAAATATAGCCTTGCAAAGCGGACATTTCAGAGGCTAGTGATCACTAGCCTCACACCAATCACTCTTCAATGGTGCGAAGCCAGATGGCATATTGCACACAAATTTGGTCACCACAGTCGGTATCACTTATCCTTCAAGTAGAAAACGTCCAACGTTGCGCCACCAGATACATTTTATCACTGCCATTTTTGTCAGGAGTATCATACAAAGATAGACTTGTCAAAAGTGATTTACTACCATTAACATACTGGCATGAATTCCTGGATATGGTCTATACCTTTACAAAGCGTTAGTTCTATCTAACGACCACAATATCCATGTAAAGACAACAGATCGGTTGACGAGAGAAAATGATGGAACAGCAAAAATTATACTACAAGTTCCTAGAGTAAACACTTCAAGATTTCAGAACAGTTATTACTGCAGATCACCCAGGACTTTTAACTGTTTACCATCACACTTACGGCAGTCAAATCTCTCAATCAGTCAATTTAAATGCGGCCTATTTAAATATTACCAAAAGCTTGTTGAAGAGGTCTACGACATTGAGGTTCCACAAACGTTTAAAACAGTGTGTGTAAAGTGCCATTTGTGTCGTTCCTTGTCCAGTCTTTCTGTCAAACTGTGTTGTCATTAGTTGCTGTTAACCCAGTGGAAATATCACTTTTTAGTGAGCATGTGAAATTTAAATTAAATTCCTTTTTTTCGATCCACATGATTAGAATTGCTCAGGACCACATTAAATCAAACGTCTCAGTGATTAGCGATTTTGAAGCGATATATCCACTGTGTTAACCTATATTTCAGTATTGCATTAGCAGGTTACCCGTAAAGGAGCAACTAGCTCTGTGGGTTAAACCGGTCATGTGACAAAGATTGTAAAATACACCTTATTGAAATTATCACGCACCCGATGAGTGAAAGCTGTTATATCGTGGCTGTTTGGCATAATTTGAAAACAGAAACTTTTGCATAAAATTAAGCAAATTTTGCATAAAATTAAGCAAAATACAATCGCGAAAAAATATCGATTATCGGTATTTTTTTCCGGTATCGGTTTTCGTTTTTTTTTTAAATACCGCAACAGCTTAGAAGAAAACACAAAAGAAATCATGAGCGTGAAGTAGTCTGTATATCTGATACAAAATTATGCGGATGTACATAAACTTTAAGTTTAGTTTTCTCACCGAATATCATTCATTTATTTTACATTGTTCAAGAATACGAATGTCCTCATTAAGACGTTTCACAAGCCATTTATACAACATGAGTGTTGACATACAAATTCTCGCATTCGGCTCTTTACGATAATTATTCACAAAATTTTAAATTCTGTCTGAAGGGAGTAAAGGTAGTTTGGTAGTCGGGCTAAAAACGCCAAAGACTGTCGTTTTGAGAAAGCATTGATCAGTTCAAACTTATAACTCGAATATTTGGGCTTCTTTCAAATTCTAGTTATGTGAATGCTTCCGGCCAATTTGACTATGTTGCAGTAGTTGCACAGGTTTGCGCGCTTTGCACAAACGCATTCAGCAATACTATAGCTCAACTATACTGTATTCAAGCAACAGTACAATTATTCGTGCGGTGTTTCCATCTTTTCAAATTCTAGCCGCACAGAGCCTACAGTTCTATACTTGTAATTGTCGCAAAACGCAGCAATGCAACATACAGAGTGATTTGATGGAGGTTATATTTCATTTTACGTTGTGCTCAATCTTGTTTTAACTTTATTTTGTCCAGATATTGAAGAGGAAGAATATAGCCGTGCATATTCGCAAGCTCTCCATGAAGGTGAAGCAAAAAATAATCGAATTCCGATTATGCTGGTCGGACAAGACCGAGGCGGAAAGACTTCGCTGATGAGACGTCTTTTAGGATTACCATTCGACAAAGATCAATCCAGTACCGTTGGTATTGACGTTAATGTTATCGAGCTAACAGAACATAATGCGGAAGATCCCTGGAAAAGGAGAGAAGTGAAGAAGTTTATGACCAGTGAAAATGAGGCAAAGACTGTATTATACAAAAAAACTGCTGAGTACCTTGATAGAGGAGTTCAGAGGAATTTAGAAGGGGATGTGGCAGAGCCATTGAAGCCAGTGACGCCAATAAAGTCAGTGATGCCAGTGAATCCAGTGAAGCCATTGCCAGTGAAGCCATTATTGAGAGAAGAAATCTTTAAAATCGAATCGCAGAGGTCCACTGAACACGACCAGAACGAAGTTCTTCGGGTATTTGTAAGTGACTTTGCTGGACAGTCAATCTATTACGATACCCATGGCTGCTTTGTGAAACCGCATTGCCCTTATGTTTTGGTTCACGACCTTTCTCTGGAGTTTGATAAACCCGCCGTTCCCAAATTTAAAACAAGTAGTGAAGAGGAAGAGATAGAGATGAACAATCCTCATCTTAATACCAATTTAGATTATTTTACATTATGGTTGAAGTTCCTGCAAGGTTTAGGAGAATGCCAAGATCAACAGTTTCCTGATAAATCTGGTCACTTTACCACTACAAAGGGTGAGAACTTTAAACTGCCACCAGTTTTAATAGCCTTAACTCACAATGATGAGGTGAAAGGCAACGACGGCAAAATAGATTGCGTACAGAAGAGAATCAACAAGGTCTTGTGTGGAGGAAAATATGAGAATGTTGTCCCAGAGTTTTTCCTGATCGACAATACATTGGAAGGCGACGACGGAGATGACGTGCGAAAGCTTCGTAGAAAACTTTTTGACCTCTCGAATGCAGTCCTTAACCAGGAGATTTTAATGCCTGTGAAGTGGCTAGATTTTGAAGCTGCTTTAAGCCAGAAGCTATCACCAGATTGCAAGTATATCCAAGTTGACGAAGGTAAGCAGGAAGCGGAGGCCTGTGGCGTTGAGGAGTTGGATTATGCTATCAAATTTCTACACCGCCAAGGTGTGGTCGTACACCACAGTGGATCTAGCAAGGTTGTATTGGACCCTCCCTGGTTAATGAATCGCTTTACGAAAGTGATCTCCATGCCTGGCAAATTGGACGCCTTGTCCAGGCACTCTCTTGATGTGTTCAAGCAGAAAGGCATTTTGTTTCGAGAATATCTTGAGACGCTCGAAGACGCAGAACTTTTAAAAGAGCTTATGCAAAAGTTTAACTTGATTTGTCCTTGCCAGTACGACGGAAAGGCGGCTTTTTATGTCCCTTCAGTTGCCCCAGCTATGACAGCAGGAGAGGAGTTGGAAGCTAGCAAAATGGAGTTAAATGTTCCATCGCTGTTTGTGACATTTCCTCGCCAACTTGTGCCGATGAGCCTGTTTACGAAGCTTCAAGTGAAATTAATTTCTGAGTGGGAAAAGCGCTTCCCCAATCAACAAGCCACGCCTTCCTTCTGCTGCAACTACTCTTTGCTTCCACTTATTATAGACGGCGACGACGTGTATGATGTTTGTTTAATCGACCTCCACGAGTTCATTAAGGTTGCCGTTTTTCCAAAGCATGGTGGCAACCATTTCAAGTTTGCCAGTAATCTCAAAGCCACTCTGAAAAAGTGTTTGGACGACCTTAAATCTCCAGACCAACTATTATTCAGCATGACCAGCTATGACCTCGAAGTGGAATGTACCTGCTGCTTTGGTAAAGAAGAAAGAAGATGTTCTCGTCATCATAAGATCCAGTGTCATCTAGACCGTTGTGGGCACCGCCACTTCTGGAAGCTTAGTGACCTTCAGAGATTCTACAACGATGAATCACCTGCAATTTGCCGGTCGGACAAACGCTCGTCCAAGGTGTTTGACATAAAGAGTGTAAAGATGTGGCTCAATACTGGTAAGTGGCTAATGCTAAAGGCGTTTTTACTTTGCCAGTTTTGAATTCGTTAGTTGACAATCATCTTTGCTGTGGTTAGGACCAAGCCTGGGTTAGGACTATCGAGGGATTAGTGAGCTTAAGCAAGCAACGTTTCTGTCTACACGGACGGACGTCATCTGAAAATTGGTATCACTAATACTGGAGGCGTTTTGCATCATAGCACTCATGCGAGGAAGCAAAAAACTTTAAAAATCTCACGTTTTATCATATGTGTTGAAGATTACCACAAACTGATACAAACACAGTTTTTAATCCAGCCCCCCTCGGCAATCTGACGTCCGTGTTGACAAAAACGTCGTTTG